ATGTGGGCGTGGCAGAGTATATGAACAGTAAGTAAACTTTGCACGGACTTATAAGTTGCCGGGAAAAGAAATTGTTGTGTCTAGCTGAGTCATATTTCCATCAGACCCCGGGGCCAGGACTCATGAGAAAATGTTCGTGGGAAAATTGCAAGTTTCGGCGATATGCAGCTGTGAGTTCCCTGACTGACTATTCTTCTTCTTCTTCTTCTGCTTCGACTTTGTTGTTTTTTGTTTGGCAACCACATTCACATTCGCTGCAGATATGCAAATTCAGTCAAGGGATTGGCGAACTGTCATGCAAATGAACCTGCTGCCATATTCGACTGGAGCTCAACCGGTCCCACAACGGCATCACAGGCACTCCACGAAGCCAACTGGAGGTGTTAACGAGAAGGATTTGGCATAGGTCAACTGTGCGCAAAAGAAATCGTATATTTTCAGAGACCCTATTAAATTACATCCTGTTGCCTATTTAACGTTCTACTCAAAGTTCTCGGCAGCGTGTTCGCAATTTATTCAACAGTTTGAGGGAGCATAAAACTTTATTGCATAACTTGCACAAAATATGTTTTTTATATGCTCGTAAAAAGAGAATCTACATCATAGCTGGCCATCAGAAGGTGCACAGAGAGCCTGTGGCTGAATCTGGGGTACATGGTCAACTGCAAGCAAAGCCGTAATTTACACACATTTTAATTTAGTTTTTGCCATATTTATATATCGTGAGTGCTTCTGAGTGTGGCTGTGTGTGTGTGTGCCAGCTGTGTGCACATCTAAGTGGGGCTTACCCAAAATTATGCATATCAACTTTATTGCTCGCACATATCCCTATGAACATATAGATTTACATACGAGTAAGTGCATGAGCACACACACAGCCACACGCCCACACACACAGACACAGACACAGCACTTATACATTTAAGGAAAGTTTTGCATATTTTACGCACTGATTGGATACAGGATGACTGTTGTCTCGGCAGCCTCTTGCCTGCCCTGGGCCATCATCCACTTGGTATTCTTATCAAGCCCTGCATTAAGTACTGAATGGGTATACTTATCTTGCGATATGTGCTTACATAGCGATGCTTAAGGGATCTACCTCAATAAATAATGTTATAGATTACATAAGAAACTTGATTAAACAAATATTAAACTATATTAAGTTGCAATCGCATAAGTTCATTAAGTGACGAAAACTTTGAAAAGTTTCTTCAGGCATGACTTAATAATTAAAGTTACAAATTGTTATGCTAAGGCCTATGAAAGAGAGTTACAATTCAAATATACATAGTTAGCTGTTTTCTTAATAGATTTCTTACCTTTATGCATCAGGTATTAATAGTGACTATAAATGTATTTATTTTAAAGCTATTAAAGGAGACATATTTTTTGTATAGATCTATTCGATATATTTATAAAGAAAGAGCTAGGTCAAAACTAGATAAAAGAATTAAATATTTGGTGGATTTTTCGTAAACATCCATTTAATATAATATAATTATTAAAGGAGCACTATGCTATAATTTCATGTTGAAATTCTTACAAGCAAGAGATTTACATTTAGACATAAATGGCTGACTCTTAACAGATTTTCAGTTCAAAAATGCTCATACTGAGCTCAGCATAAATTTATATCTAATATAAGCCTTATCTCTCAGCCATTCATAGGGTATCCCGCTGTCATATTCGAGCTACCCTCGTTCGCATTTTATTTGATGCTGCAGCCCCATTTTGTGAGTTTTGCTTGCGAAGTGCACAATGCAAAGATTTATTTTGTGCTGACAAACAGCGCGTCGCTTGTTGGTAATCGATGGCAATGAGCATTGGCATTTCATACGCTTCAACAGAGGCGGCAGGAGCAAGAAGAAGATGGAGATGGATGCGACGACTTCCACATGGCATTTGCCATGCTGTTTGTCTGTCTGATTATGGCAAGGAGCACACCAAGATGCACAGACACAGGCGCTCCCCCGATTGCCAGGACTTGACTAAACTCAAGTAATAAATAAGCATATCAGTTGGGCGATCTGGCAAATCAAGCGTATTCTATGCCGAACAGTGAAGCTAATTTGTTATCATTTGCACGATATGAATAGAGTGTAATAAATGCACGATGTGCAAAATGAGTTACAAATGCCGAATGGTAATATATGTACAGATTTAAATGCGTGTCAGCATTTTCTGCTGCATACCTCGAGGCTGCACAAAGAAATCTTAGCTGCTTGTATTGGCTTATGGCTATATAAGTCGATTATAAGTTAAGGAAAACCATAAAAGTTGACAGAATCAAACAAAGTTTCCACACACGAACTGCTGATTATGCCTTCAAATTGGCAATTTAAGGTTCGAGACTCGCTCTTTAAGTAGTCAATTATATCAATTATTTCGCCCCTTCTGTTCGACATCGGAATGCAAATTTTTCACACCCGCCTCAGACCCGTGGTGTCTGTGTTTTGTAAGAGCAACAACAACATTCATATATAACTTTTCAATTATATTCAATTCCCTCGGCTCCTTGGGAAAGTGGAAACAATTTGGTAACAGTAACTTTTCAAATAATTTATGCCATTTCTAAATACTTGCAAACACAAAGTTCCAAAACAAACAATCAAATTCATTGGAAAAACGTTGCAGCATTGCTGAAATTATACGACTCGCCATAAACGAAGAGAAAAAGATATAACAGAAACCCATAAAAATGAAATGAATGCTGCCGAACGCAATTTAGAAGGCAATGCATCGAGTGTTTAGGGAAATCTATAATTTTATAGCTTTTAAATAATATTAAAAATCAATAGCAGTGAAGACAAATGATATTTATTTCTTGATCCATAAAATATTAAAATTATTAATAAAATCTATTTGACCTATATATCTTATATATATTTATATATACCTACATTATTAAATATATATATCTAAATTCATCTGAACTTTAGTTTCTATTCTGAAACACATAAAATTACACTTGGTTCTTTAATATCTAGATTATCTTATCTATTAGTTATTAATTAATCATCACAGTTATGTTAATAACACTACTCTTAAGAGAGTGGATGATATTATTATGTTCAGTTCATGCTGATCTGCTGCTATTGATTTTGATCACTTAGCTATAATTTCGTAGGCATGTGGAGTATTTTAAGATTTCATCTGAACAATTTGGCGTCGTTATTTATGTGTGCTACACATGCAGACACACACTCACACACACATACATATACATACACACACCCACTGTCAGTCTTTTCAACTGTTTAAAATTCTAAGATTGTACATTCTCCTCGAATGTCCTTTAGGTTAGATTTCTTTTTTTTTTCTGTTTGTAACTTTGGCTCGGCAATATATTTACTTCAAGGCTCCACTCGACATGAGCTGGTGTGTGTGGGTGTGTATGTGTATGTGTATGTGCGTGGGGAAGCAGCGAAAGAAGAGCTCAAAGGCAGAGGCTCAAGCACACATTCGCATCGGCCTAATAGCACTCACACGCACACACACAGACACACACCCAAAAAAAAAAAAAGAAAAAGGAAAAAAAAATTGTGAGGGACGAAGCAATGACCACGCATAAAACATGTGAAAAGAGAGCATGATGGCAAAGAGGAAACCAAAAGAAATAAAATGAAATGCCAAACAAACCCAAAAGGAAATCAACAAAATACAACAACATCGAGAAACGAAACAACAAAACGAAATAGCAAAATGTCGGCGCATAGGGCTAATAGCTGCAAAAACAATGCAAATAGCAATAACGACGACGACGCAGCGTCTGTGACTAACAGTAAACGACGCTGGACAGACGGAGTAGCAGTAGCAGGACTGCGAAGTTCATAGAGAGGAGGAAGAGTAAGAAGGGGGGATCCATGTATGTTTCTCTATGTAGACAAATTCAAATCTGCTTAGTATTTACTACATAGTTTACGCTTACGCGCTGCCAGCGACTCGAAGCCGCCAATGCTGTTGATATTGATTTTTACTGTTTCTTTTATTGTTGCTGTATTTTTTGTCCATCTCTCTAGCACTGTCTAACTTGCTGCTGCTGTTGGGGTGCTATGAGTGGGAAGAGTAGCAGAAGTCGCGGTCAATGGCTGGCTGTCAGGCTACCTGTGAGAAAACAACAACAACAACAACAAACACACACACAAGAAATGCAGCAACTACAAATCGGATTTGCGTGAGTAATTGGCAAGACAAGCGTTTGGGCCTAGAGCGTATTGGCAACACGCAGCAGGAAGAAATGACTTTGCCAAGTAGCTTTCGATTTGTGTGCCTGTGTGAGTGTGTGTGTGCATGCGTAAGCCTGTGTTTGTAGTTGTTCCTGTTATTGTTGCTGGTTTTTAGAGTGAAACCTCAGTAGCGTTGGCAAAGGTGACAAAATGACAGCAGAGAGATAGAGAGAGAGAGAGAGGGGAAAGAGAAAGAGAAAAGAGAGAGAAAGAGAAAGAGAGTGCAGTCTGCACTATGAAACTGACTGAATAATACACGTTCGATCGACGAATGAACAGCTTAAGAGATAATCTGCCTAGCTTAATAACAGATATCGATTCTGGACTTATTGCGGTTCGGTCTTTCGATGACCTTATTGTGTGAAACTAAGTTTATTAATGACTCTAGCCTAGAAGCCATATATGTTCCAAGTGCGACTGAATATACATTCTCTGTGGATATCAAGTTTCAAGCCTCTAATGTCAATTTGCTTTCTTTTAAACACTTACAAACTCAATCTACCCTCTTTATAGGGCTGAGTATTACAACTTGGCGACCAAAAGCAAAGAAAAATTTGTCTAAAAGCCCAAATGCGTTATATGTGCCAAAATCAACCCACAATCACACACACACACACACACACACACACACACACACACACACACACACAGTGATACGCATGTGTATAGAGAAGTGAGCTGGCAGGAAGCAGCTTAGTTGTTTTAACTAAGTGACAGCCAGACACGCTGACAGTCAGTTGGGATATACAGCTGGGATTATTTGGGACTTACCTCATCGATAAACTCGAAATCGCCGCCAGTTTCGCCAACATACTTCTTCTTCTTGGCATCGGCGCTGCCAAGCAGACAGGATGACATCAACACTAGGATCAGGCAAACGCTGGCAATGAGCGGCAAACGCGAACGCTTCATGGCGACGGCAAATACAATGGCAACGGTAGCAATGATAAGGGAACCTTCAGTTAGGAGATGAGCGACGCTAGCGGAAGCGGCTCAAATGCGTGGCGAATTGTTCACGATTTCCGTGGGCAATGTTAATTGCTAGTCCAATCGAATGCGAGAATTTGAATAGCTCACACACGCACACACCTACAGTGAAACAAACAGCGAAACACACATACACGCGCGCACACGCCTGTAAGTGTAGTTCTTGGACTTGGACGATGGATGCACTGCAGCAGACACACGGAACGTGATAGAACTGTATGCGACGCGACCAAAACGTAAACTGAGCGCAAATTAATTTGCATTGCTCTGTCCGAACGGCATTGGAATTTTGCGGCAGCCGAGTAGAAAGCGCAATGCGCGACAGAAGAGCGGCTCCAGGACATCTAAGAGAGCGGAACTGAGACTGTCACATGACATAGGGTTGCCACCCAAGTTAAAAACTTAAATGATGTTGCATGGCTGCAAATAATCAAATTTTTTTAAATTATTGCTAATACTTTAATGCTATAATATCGAATCCTTACCAAATTTATAGCATGTATATTTAATTTTTTTCGGTTCAGCTCAATAATATAATTTCAGTGTACGCCAGTGCGTATGCGCAATGTGCAACCCCTGCGACGCATCGCATGCTCTCACGCCACATTCGATTTGCTGGGGCAAACAACAACCGCCAAGCGCTTCCAAAAGACAACCACTACTATGCGCCACCACCAGCCGAGCCACTGCAAGGCAGAGAGCATTGTGTGGGGCCGAGCAGCATTCAAAATCGATTTTATTTTCCGTCTAGCTTGCTGTTGACTCTTGTCGCTTCGGCCATGCTCTTAACTGCGTCGCGGCAATTTTTGGCCATTGGGTCGTGAACCTGCCAGCAGCGACAAAGTCGCGTTCACATCCCAAATGGACCACTGTGGTTGTTGTTGCGCCGCTTGTGTCGCAGTCGTTGGCTGTTGATTTTTATGTATCGGCACTTGGCACCGCATCGATGACGCCGTCACCATGATTATAGCCAGCGCTTTTGGCCGGGAAACCCCGAAACCATTTAACGCGTCAGCACCTCGCAGGCTGCCCAAGAGGCAGCTTCCAAGTCGCCGCACTTGCCCAAGTCGCCATGCCTCGGCCACGTAGGCCCCCAGGCTCTGACAGTTTTAAATTAATAGCCCCGCACACACAGTCACATAGGCCGCGTTGCGTTGTGTGTGCAGGGCCTAGGAGTTTCTGCCTGGGTTTGTGTGTGCGTGCTTGGATGTTTAGCAGCTATAGCCTCCACGTCCAACTCCCCATTCGGTAATGGCATCACTGACTTCTGCTCTGATAGTGCTCTGGCCAAGCCCCTTGTGCTACGGGTCACAGCACAAGTGTTTGTGCATAGGTAATTATTGATGCTTAGAGAATTGCTTTTGTTAATCTGTTCCACATGGTGTCTGATTCTGTTTCTGTGTCTGTTAAATCTTTACATTTTATTTGATATTCAAATGATTTTCAATCAACAAGTCCATCTTATACTAAATATAGTTATTGTTGCTGTCGCATTCAATCAATCGATCAATCAATTAACTTTATTAAATGGCCTGCTAAAAAAAGTTGCGCTCAATAACTAACGCACTTTGGTGCTATAAAATTGATTCATAATATTGTTGTTCTTGCTGTTAGCCATGGCTGTAAGGTTGTATATAAACATATTTTTGATTTTTAACACATAGAATATGATTTCATTCAGTTTCTATGCCAGCTTGTGTGCAGATTAATATTATTTTTGGTTAGTTACAAGTCTTAAACGCTTTCTAAAGTGGAAATGCCTGCTAATGATTGTTAGTTACATCTGGAAACGGAAACACAAAAAATGTAAAAAAAAGTAAATGAAAACAACTGCGGCTGGACAGCGGCTGATTTGTTCACTGGGGCGCCAACGGTTTACTAAATTATGCGTAATTGTGCCTAAATGCTATTTGAAAATTTATCATAAGGAATACTATTTGCTTGGCTGCTGTCGCATTTTTGGCCGCATTAACGTTATGGCTGTAAAAAAAATTTATGCAGTTGGAGATTCCGTTAGCATGCATTACAAATGCACCTTTAGAGATTCCATGCGCGAGACAATGCGACGACGTAGCTCTGCGTATCTGAAATAAGAGAGCGACATATATTATAGTTGAAATATAAAACTGTAATTTCGTTAGTAAAACTAAATTTTATAATACTTAAAGCACTCATGCCCAACCGACCCACCCCACAGATCTATTATTGACAATGATTCAGCTCAATTCATTTGTGTAGGTCGAAGTAAAAATATTAAGGGCGCGTGTCTTTCAGGAAACTCAAGAAATATGCGGAAATTGACTTGGTAAACTTTACCATACGAATAAATAACCCCGCTACTATGTAAGTAAAATAACCATTTGACATTTGCCTACCTCTCTTTCACTTTGACTATCTCACGCGCCAATTCCTGATCATAGCGATCCAGTATAGCACGGCATTCCGGCAGCGATAGATTTAAAAATTGAGCAACTTCATTACTGAAAACAGAGTAAAGAATTTATAAATTGATCAGCGACTTGTTTAATGGGTCGCTAACCTGATCTCATCAGTTTTGCGTGCATCCACAAGAAATAGACGAGCCACATCCTCATGCGGTCCCAGCGTAATGCGAGTGATCAATGGATATTCATTGTCCTTCAGGCGCTTTTGTTCGCCGTTGTCACGCACGATGAAAAGCGAGAAATTCTCCGCGGCGCTATCCACCTTATACTTCTCCAGCACCAAATTGATGACCTCCTGAGTGGTGACCAGCGAAGTGACCCATACGGACATTTGGGAGCCGTATGGGGGCGTGAAAAACGATGTCTCCCGATTGTAAAAATGCCCATTGATTGAACACCGACGTTTCAGCTTCGTGCGCGAGCTGCAAATATTAGTTCCATTATACAAATGTGCGGCATAAATCCAAGACTTGACTAACCGTCGATTGCCACTGCGACGTTTGATGGCAGCAGCGCCAGTGCGCGGGGGTCTTCTCAAGACAACGCCATCCTCATTCACGTGCAAGCCCGCCTCATTAGTTCCAATGCCATCCGCGGCACTTTCTCTGCCCTCAGTGGCCGTGTAGAGCTCATCCGTTTGAGTCAGCTCGTCGCCAGCTACAGCACCGCTTAACACCTAAACAAATGAGATAAGCATTATTTAAATAACGATAAATAACGATAAACTAAAATAAACTTAAGTGCCTGCTATCTATTGTTTTATTCGTACCCCACTTTGCCTTTTATTGCTTAATATGTACGCACACATGGAAACAGCGTAAGATAAGAATCGCTGTAAGACGCTTCTACAATTGCAATACATTGCAATCTAGGCATAAATTTTGCTAGTCAACTGCTCAAGGAACTTGCGACTTGGAGAGCCTAAATTAAATATTTAAACAAATTATATCGCCTATGAAGACTTGAAGCGATACAATTGGATAAACAAATCGTTTTTATAGGCCTTATCTTCTCATTCATCTCATCTTCCCACATCTTAAGTGTGTCTACTAAATTAAGTTAAATATATTACCGATGATGCATCGGCACGACTCGATTCATTTTCAATTGCACCTTCTTTGGGATAGCAATTCATTTGGATTTGTATATAACGTTGAGGCACATCACTGCGTCGCACTGTCGCCAAACGATGTGGGCGCAGCGTTGTATCATCATCATCGTCACTGTCGGAATATACAAAGCAGCTGGGACCAGACTTGGAGCGATTGATGCCCTTTTCGAAAAGCTGACGACCGTGCTCATAGGACTTATGGTGCTCACGGCTGGGCGCTATAGACGCAAAGGCAGAGCCACTCTTCTGCAATGCGTACTGACGCTGCGATGAGCGAGGAGAGTCAACGCTGCTGCGCAAATGCATTGTGTCGTTTATAAGTGTGGGATCAATGGAGCGGAGCGCGTGCTCGCAATTGAAACTCTTGCTCATAGCCGAATTCTCGCCGTAGAGCTTCAGGGAGTCGTGTATCCGAGAGGGATCGATAGGCTGATTGCGTTTCAGTGTGCCGTCATTTGGCTCCTGAAACGAGTTGGCACCATTCACATAATCCTGATGAACGCTTCGCTTAAAATCCTCATAGTCCATAGGCTTCAGCGTTGCATCATCCGACGTCTTGTAGTCATCCAGCGTGGTGTTGCTAGTGCTTACAGTGCTTGTGTTCTGGGTATTGGTATTTGTCGTTAAAGAGCCTGTGGCAGTCATAAAGTTATCTGAGCTGCTGCTCGTTGTGGTGTTTGTGGTTGTTGTAGGAGATGAGGCAGTATTGATTTGATTGTTTTGCGTATTTGTCGAAGTTGTGCTGGAGGAGCACGTCTTACTGGGCGAGCTTTCGCTGGACGATTGTGACGATGAAGACGGCAGCTTGACGGGCATCGTTTCATAGACCTTGTCCTTCTCACTTTGACGTCGTTCCACTTGCAGCAAGTCATCAATATCATCCCAGTCCAGTTTCTCCAGGTTGTCCAACTTGGAGGGCAACGTGCTGGATACGCAGCTGGTGCTGGCCGTAATAGCGTCCGTGGCGCTGCCGATTAACGTGCTCGAGGAATCAGTATTTGTTACATCCTCGTCATCATTGTTGGAGCTCGACTGTCCGTTTACAACCTGTTCACTGCCCGGCGTTGTATTTGCGGAGGCATCTTCCGGTGTTGTCGGCAGCTCCGATATCTCATTCAAACTACATGAATCAAAAGTCATGCTCTCCGACAATGAAATGTCCGTGGAGAGTGGATCAACCTCACTAGCGGTAGTCGTGGGAGGTGCCACCGATTCGCTGCCTTCGTTTTCCTTGTCCGAGCAACTTTCCTGCTTGACAACAAGGGTCAATAAATTAATGGGAAACCCATGTCAAGTATATAAACTTACATCTTGTGCCTTGGATGCGCGGCAGGAGTTGCGTTTGCGCACTACAAATGTACGCTGATCATCGTCCTCCTTGAGATGAATAACGCCCTGGACGCCCCAAAACACACGCAGTGGCCCCTCCAAGATCAACCGATTGTTCACTTCACGGCTGCGTATCTCAAGGCTTTTATTATCATAAAATTGATTGTAAACCTGCAAGTTGTTAACAATTTCAATTCAAACTTGTACCACTAATTTTATACAAATAAATGCATCATACCTTCAGCTTGGACTCCAAATGGTCGCGGGGCAGCGCGGGTCCATTAGCCTGAGCGGCGACTGGTTTCTGCGCGCCTTTTACACCGTAGCTCTTGTGTGACTCAACGCGCGTGCCGT